GTGTAATGATGTTGAAAGAATATGTTTGTAATAAATAAAGCCATAAGGAAAATGCTTATACTGTATTCAGTTTTAAAAAAAAACAAGTGTGGCCATATATAACATAAGAGCATTTCTTGTTGAGGTAGGACAATTTCCTCTAAAAATTGCACATTTAGGGAGTTTTGGTCAATTCCGACAAAATTAAAAACACAAACATTTTTCGCACGCTTCGCGCGCATTTGTTAGGGTTAAAGCTTGTGATTGCCCTCCTTTACATTCTAAGTTATTTAAAAACATAATAGTCCCAAACTTGAGAAAGAAATTTTAAGATAGATCGTTTTACCTAAAAGAAGGGCCTCAATGTGTAATGATGAAATGATGGTGAAAGAATAGGCCTGTGATTGTAATAAATAAAACCACGATGAAAATGCTTATATTTAGTTTCAAAACACACGTATGTGGCCTATATTAATAATAAAATAAGCTAGCCCTATGTCTGTCTCTTATACACATCTATATGTGTTAATCTGTTAGATTTAGCAATGAATTTAAAGTTCAAATAAATGAGAATATTCCAACATTCTCCGTAAATCATATTATTGCTGTATATTTCGGGCAGCGCTTGGCTTGCACACTATCAACGGCATTATTATGGCCTGTCAATTTCAGACAATAATTACAGAGAATTTTCTTCTAAAAGCAAACAAATTTTGGAGATTGGTCGTTTAAGTATACCAGACTTGGTTTTCAGTTTCACACTTTGGACTAGCCCATAAACCATGAGTTACGAGGTGCTTGCTGATCAATAATGTGTACAACATCTCCGGCACGCACATTTCTCCTTGGTTTCATCCAAGTTTAGGGTTTAGTTTAGTTAGATTGCTGCCTTTACCCAATTCCCTTTGAGGGAAATTTGTGGTTTGCACATATTTGCTTATAGCAATCTCAACTTCCTCCAGATTCCTAGCCGTAAGTAGATGACTTTCCTTCACCTTTCGGAGCAGGTCTTTTAAGTATTGAACCTGCTTCCATCTTTTTCGTGCGTAGACATCTTTTTCGTTAAATTCTCCAATTGCATTACCTGCAGGCTGCAGTAGTAGCAAAGAATTTGGAGTAATTACATCTAAATCATTTGGATCATCTGCATTTCTCGTTAGAGGCCTACTATTGACGATCGCCTCCACTTCACACATGAACGTGTTCAACTGTTCATCAGATCCAGTCGTTTTTATAAACTGCTCATTCAACAGACTGTTGAGGGTTTGGCGTATTGTCCGTATCTGCCTCTCCCACACGCCTCCAAAATGGGAGGCAGACAGTGGGTTAAATTTCCATTCTATCCCTCGGTTTGCGTGCAAATTCTTGCATCTTCTTCTTATCAATGCATTCAAATTCTGCCTCGGCCCCCACAAAATTTGTGCCGTTGTCTAAGGTAATGTGTTTCACTTGGCCACGCCTTGCTATAAAACGGGGCAAAGCATTAATACAGGAACTGGTATCCATAGATGCAGGTACTTCAATATGTACAGCTCTGCATGCCATACATGTGAAGATTACCCCGTATCTTTTTCTACAGGCCCTTCCATATTTCACTTCGAAGGGGCCGAAGTAGTCTATGCCTGTATTCGCAAAAGGTGCGTCAGGTTGTACACGTTCCGCAGGCAAATTAGCCATTAACTGCTCAATGGACTTTGCTTTTACACGCCTGCAAATAGTACATTGCTTCACAATGCTCCGGACTAGTGTTCCAACTTTCAATACCAAGTACTTCTGTCTTAGTACTGACAGAACGTGATTTAATCCTTTATGGCCAATCCTTTTGTGTATGTGTTGGATGATTAGGGTAGTCACATGATGATCTCTTGGAAGAATGATCTGGTGTTTCATATTTTCGGGGATGGGTGCATTTTCAATTCTGCCCCCCCCCCCAACTCTTAGAATTCCCTCATTTAGTTTAGGGTTTAGTTTAGTTAGATTGCTGCCTTTACCCAATTCCCTTTGAGGGAAATTTGTGGTTTGCACATATTTGCTTATAGCAATCTCAACTTCCTCCAGATTCCTAGCCGTAAGTAGATGACTTTCCTTCACCTTTCGGAGCAGGTCTTTTAGAATGATATAGTATGCCACAGCTCTCTTCAATTTTGTCCAATCGGAGTAGTGTCGTAATAATCTATTCAAAGGACTGTCATATTGATATATTGTTTCGTTGACTCCAATTGCGTTGCACTGGCTTTCCTGGATGTCATTGTGCGATGTATTGCCATTGGGTGGTATATCTTCCATAACAGGCCATTCCTTCTGGCTCATAGCCAAGAAATCCGGCCCTGATATCCATTCCTTATGTCTCATCAGATCTTGTGCCTTAAGTCCCCTGGATGCATGGTCGGCAGGATAAAGTTTTCCTGGCACATATCGCCATGAGTCCAATGTTGATCCATCACGAATAACTGCAACGCGGTTAGCCACAAACACAGGATATCTAGCCTTCTCATTTGATATGTATTTTAGAACAGTTTGGCTATCTGTCCAGAATATTGATGGTTCCAACTTAATCGTCATCTCTCTGTGTAATAGATCATCCTGATGTACAGCAGATGCAGCTGCTGTCAATTCCAATTTTACTATTGTGTGGGGTTTCAATGGAGCTACTCTGGCTTTAGCTGTCACGAAACCGACATGGATATTTCCGGCTGTATTTTGTGAACGAAGATATGTAACTTTACCATATCCATGTAGACTGGCATCGGCAAAATGATGCAATTGGGCGTTTAGGCCCTTGAAGAAGTTCTTGATTCAATGACATTACCCATGTATGTAACAGGGCAATTAAATACAACTCGGAGTTTATCAGGCTTCCTTTAGGGAAAAACTCCATGATGAGGAATGAACGATGTGCGTCCATCACTTCTATTAACCTGTTCTACTGGCACTTCCTCTGCGTACCCTTTGCTTACCAGATTTGCCATAAACTCACTGTAACCTTTTAAAAGTTTAGGATTCTTGATTAACTTACTCCTCAATCTTCCTGCAAACATCTCTGCTTGCAATTTATTATTTGGAAACACAACCTCATGGCTTCTCAATGGCAGGGCTACCTGAAAGTGTCCATCAACCTGGGAGATTGTGCTATCCATAATATCTAGGAACCTTTTGTCTTCAACGGATGGAATCAGTTTACTCCCAGATAACCTCTCTCTAAATTCCATATTAAAGTATTCCTTCAATTGTTGTTCCAATGGATCAACTTTACAAAAGTTAACCCTCACTTTCTGCCGATTAACTGATTTTCCTGGTAATCCATACAACAGCCACCCTAAGGAAGACCTTATCGTATATGGTTGCCTTAGTCTTCCCATGATCACTTCTAATGGCATGGAAACAGCAGGAACGTTTACTCCAATTATCACTGATACCTCTGGCATGCAAACTTCATTGACATTTGGTAATCTGATTTGCCTGAGATGTGGCCATTTGGATAGGTCATTCTGTCTGGGCACATCGTTGGTTGTTACTGGAATGCTATCTTGAACATAGACAGAAGGCAAATCAATGTAGTTGGCTTCTAAAATGCTGGCTACCTGTAACTGGTCTGCCACCATCTTGACACTGACCCTGTCTTCTAGGTTCAAAGTCTTAATGAGTAAACCTGTATATTTAGCCTGGGTCTTCAGTTTTCTGTTTAGTTTCTCTGATATGAACACTGCTTGGCAACCATTGTCGATGGATGCATATGTCGTGATGACTTCGTACTCCTCTTTACCTTTACTCTGACAGGTACAATCGCCATAAGCGGGTTGTGCTTGTCTATATCGACACAGCCAGTGGATACCTTTTTCACAGACTTATTAATGTTTGGGTCATGCATTACTGTCTGGTGTTTTCCCTTGCATTGTACACATTCGATTTGTGTTCTATTAGGGCAATTTTGCTTCCTGTGACCAGCATCCATAACAGAGACCATCTTTAAAACACACCTGAGATTTTTCTTTTATTGACAGCTTTGAGAGCTGAGGGCAATTGGCAATTCCATGGTCCAAAGCTTTGCAGTGCGAACAGGAATTGATTGTCGTTGCCATAACCCTTTTCGGTTGTGTTTTCTTATATGTGGTTGGTGATGGTCGTTGCTGATATCCTAGTCCAGTCACTCTTGGGTCATTGATATTTCTGGACTCTCTCCCTACAAACGTCTCAAAATCTTCCAGTTCCCTTTCTCTTATCTTTCCTAGCTGCCTGATCCATCCTTGTTGGAGGCCTACTGGAAGCTTTGATGCCAGCATCTTTAAAATTTCATATCCATCTATTGCCATCAGCTTGGGGTTATTCTGCCTTGCATTGGAACAATTTGACAAGAATATTGCAAACTTCCTTAGGCTCTCTTTATCACCAGTTATGATTTTTGGCCAATTTGTAGCCTTTTCTTGATAGGCAGCAGCAATACTTGCAGGCTGTCCATAATCCCTTTCAAGTAGTTCTTTAGCTCTTTTATAACCTGATGCAGGAGGTGTAATTAGTTGACAGTTTCTTATTAGATCATGTGCATCACCACTAGTTGATTTGAGTAGTAATTCCAGCCTTCGTACTGGATCTTCTGTCTTCGACTCTACCAGTAACATGAAATTGCGTGTAAATATAGTGTATTCAAGTACATCTGCACCACTAAATGTTGGTAACTCTGGCTTTGGGAGACCTGCTTCCTTTTGTTACATTACAAGTCTCTGTAAGATTTCTGTCATTTTACTGTCCTAAGCATTGTTGCTCATGGGTGGAGTACATGCTTTATCATTTTTTAAAGCATTTGGCATTTGAAATGTGTCTACCGTCTCTTTTTGTAGAGCTTCAGCTGATAAATTCACGGCATCCGCCTTTGCCTTGCCAATACTCCTTGAATTACTTCATCTTCCTCTTTCATGACTGGCTCATCACTATTTATTAAAATATACTCTGCTACCTTTGCGCTTGGCCCCTGGCTTGGTAATTCTGGAATGTGAATTCCATCATTTTTCTCTAGCCGTCCAATTTCCTCTTCTAAAATATCTGACCTGATCTGAGCTGCTGCTAAGGCTTCACTCATCTCTAGCCTATCTATTTCCGTTTCAGCTTCCAGTTTCAGCCTAGCAGCCTCGGACTTCCGTTTCATAAACTTTTCCCTGGCCTTGGCCACTGCTAAATCAGCCCTCGCTTGGGCAGCAGTTACCACGAGCGACGATATCGCCGATGACTGTTTACTTAATTTAGATCGGACTGACATGGCACATATTTTAGATTGGATTCTGCTATACAGTTTTTCTGTACTATTCTAGTGCTCAATATAATCTATTTCTATCTTGAAATAAATTAAATCGTATTACCGAAGGCCTAACCTAGGCCTCTGCTATGATGATCAGATGTGACAGCTAGCACAGCGCTATTCTGCTATACAGTACTCAGTGTAATCTAGGCTTTCCACTTGACAATACACGGCACCCGTCTTTACTGTTATGGCCAATTAATCAATACGGACGACGTTTACTCAGACTGACAACTTCCTTTTATTCTAGTAACGCTTGTACATATTTCATCAGTTGTAATCATGGAGTTATTAGTTTAAGCATATTCCGTACATGAACTATTCCGTTATTCAGTGGGTTAGTCAGTCAGGTAAAGACGGTTACGGCCCTGCTACATTCAATCGGCCATATTTTCCTTGTTAATAAACTAAAGTCCAACATAGAGGGCTCACTACTAATATTAACGAACACAACATACGTAGTAAATAAGTTTTTCTATACAACCCAGAATCTACAACACTACTGCCGACAACATCAGTGAAGACTGGGGTTACATAATTAATTCATTGATACATTATATTTAATAAAAGTTATTCAATAATAACTAAGTGTTTCGAACTTCATTGCTATATATCTTTCAAATCTGTACAGATAAATTAGATCTACAACAATTATACTACAACACTACTTCCGACAGCATCAGTGACAACTGAGGATACATAATTAAGTCATTATTACATTATATTTGATAAAAGTTATTCAATAATAACTAACCGTTTCGAACTTCATTGCTATATATCTTTCAAATATGTAAAGATAAATTAGTTCAGTACTGGTTAATATTTACGTATGTAGTAAATCATATTTTTTATTTCTCAGTACCTACAACACTACAGCCCACTACATCAGTGACAACTGATATTCACATATGAAAGTAAATAACAATTGTATTATTCTAAACAACTAACAACAGCACCGCGACAATAACTTTAACAAGATAGGGTACGCTTTTTAAATTATTAATATGTTATTTATGCTAAAACCTATCAATATCAATCAAGTTATTGAATTTCATTGTTTTATACCTAAAAATAGGTTAAAATAAATTAGCTACTGTTTAATCGAAAAATTAGCAGTAATTTGCATGTTTATATACCTTTCAGTACCTACAACACTACCGCCGACAACGTCAGTAACAACTGAGGGTATGTAGTTAATGTAGTATATGCTATTTGCTTAATGTTATTAATAATATCTAAATATTTCTGATTACATGATTATATTGCTTTTAAATGTGTTGTAATACGTGAGCTCCAGTCTAATATTTACATATGCATTAAATCCCATTTTTTACACTTTTCAGAACCTACAACACTATCGCCCACTACATCGGTGACTACTGAGGGTACGTTCTTAACTCATTATTATGTTATAAATGCTAAAATGTATCAATAACAACTGAAAATTTCTATTTTCATTGTTTTATACCTGAGTTATGTTATAAAAAATTTGCTACTGTTTAATAAATCAAATACACAAATGCAATAATAAAACATGATAATACAATATTTTTATGAAAAATACGACTTTATAAAATATATCGACAATACGGAAGTAAACAGCTTCCGCCATTACGATTCCCTACATACACGGTCGCCGTGTATGTAGGGAAGTTCGGTAACTCGCCTGGACCGCCGGAAACGCGCGAAGTTTTGATAGTTGTTTAAAATGCCGTCAATTTGCCAAGTAGGTTTGTGCCTAGACACGATTACACGATAACCATGACGATTTTTAAAATTAATATTTCACACCAACCATTCTATTCCTTGTCGTAAATGAAGATTACGTTGTAGGCCAAATGCAACTAAACGGTCAGCTTTACGTTGCATTTCAGCCATGCCAGCTGGGAGGAGTACTTCTTCGCGTGCCTCCGCTCCATCTACCACCGCTAGCCTAGGTTCGTTTTCAAATAATCTCACAGTCTTGATTCCTTGCGAAAATGTTTTCAAATTCATTTACGTCGTCGAAATCAATGTCAGTATCTTCTGATAGGTCAGACATCATATAATATTTATCAAATATAGAGATCAAGATATGGGATTACGAAGCAAAAAATTGTCGCGATAAAACTTCTTGAACGTCTTGTACTTGATACGCATCGCTGACGACCAACTCTCTAGATTTGCAAAGGTTGCCATACTTGAGACATTATTTGTGCGAAAATTTCGTTGATTTTTTAATTTAAAATCGTTTCTTACTCGATTTATGATGGCTTGTAAGCTTACATTTTTA